AGAAAATCCGATATGTTCTGGGTCGATAACGCGCTGTGCAGACTGGCCGATAATAGTCCAGGCTAGAGCTGGCTGGTAGGTAGTGCAGGCCACGGACAATGGTGAAAAAACCCCCACTAACGGTGGCTAATAGCAAGTAGCTAGTTAGCTGGCTACTCCCGTCCGGTAGACAGAGAGGTAGATAGCCGGGATATGGGCCTGGCTCGAGGCTAGCTCAAGGCTAACTGGTGTTTGCTTCGGAAGCAGTGGTGATTAGCCAACAGCAACATCCATTTGGTTGCGGCTAGCTGGTTGCGATCCGGTGTTAAGGTCCAGTGATTCAGTTATTCCGGCAGAAAATCCGATGTTCTGGGTGAAAACCGCTAATGGTGGCTAATAGCAAGTAGCTAGTTAGCTGGCTAGCTAGTTTCAACTGGAGATTCTAGATAAAAGGTAAGTAAATAATAGAATCCGTTCCACATTGAGTGAGGCGGGTTGCAGGAAAGCATATTTAGTAGAAGGATGAAAAGTGTGATAGGGGAATATATACATCAAAAGACCAAAAAAATGAGAAAAACAGGCTATTTACACGGACACACAAGAGTACACGACCGCACTGCTACGCCATCTTGGAGACTGATCAACAACTACAGGAAGCGTTTGGTTGGAGTCATTGCAGCTAAAGGTGGCACAACCAGTTACAGAGAGGGAAAAAAGTATTTGATCCCCTGCTGATTTTGTACGTTTGCCCACTGACAAAGACATGATCAGTCTATAATTTTAATGGTAGGTTTATTTGAACAGTGAGAGACAGAATAACAACAAAAAAATCCAGAAAAACGCATGTCAAAAATGTTATAAATTGATTCGCATTTTAATGAGGGAAATAAGTATTTGACCCCTCTGCAAAACATGACTTAGTACTTGGTGGCAAAACTCTTGTTGGCAGTCACAGAGGTCAGACTTTCTTGTAGTTGGCCACTAGGTTTACACACATCTCAGGAGGGATTTTGTCCCACTCCTCTTTGCAGATCTTCTCCAAGTCATTAAGGTTTCGAGGCTGACGTTTGGCAACTCGAACCTTCAGCTCCCTCCACAGATTTTCTATGGGATTAAGGTCTGGAGACTGGCTAGGCCACTCCAGGACCTTAATGTGCTTCTTCTTGAGCCACTCTTTTGTTGCCTTGGCCATGTGTTTTGGGTCATTGTCATGCTGGAATACCCATCCACAACCCATTTTCAATGCCCTGGCTGAGGGAAGGAGGTTCTCACCCAAGATTTGACGGTACATGGCCCCGTCCATCGTCCCTTTGATGCAGTGAAGTTGTCCTGTCCCCTTAGCAGAAAAAAACCCCCAAAGCATAATGTTTCCACCTCCATGTTTGACGTTGGGGATGGTGTTCTTGGGGTCATAGGCAGCATTCCTCCTTCTCCAAACACGGCGAGTTGAGTTGATGCCAAATAGCTCCATTTTGGTCTCATCTGACCGCAACACTTTCACTCAGTTCTCCTCTGAATCATTCAGATGTTCATTGGCAAACTTCAGACGGGCATGTATATGTGCTTTCTTGAGCAGGGAGACCTTGCGGGCGCTGCAGGATTTCAGTCCTTCACGGCGTAGTGTGTTACCAATTGTTTTCCTGGTGACTATGGTCCCAGCTGCCTTGAGATCATTGACAAGATCCTCCCGTGTAGTTCTGGGCTGATTCCTCACCGTTCTCATGATTATTGCAACTCCACGAGGTGAGATCTTGCATGGAGCCCCAGGCCGAGGGAGATTGACAGTTATTTTGTGTTTCTTCCATTTGCGAATAATCGCACCAACTATTGTCACCTTCTCACCAAGCTGCTTGGCGATGGTCTTGTAGCCCATTCCAGCCTTGTGTAGGTCTACAATCTTGTCCCTGACATCCTTGGAGAGCTCTTTGGTCTTGGCCATGGTGGAGAGTTTGGAATCTGGTTTGATTGATTGCTTCTGTGGACTCCCTTTAAGAGTGTGCACCTAATCTCAGCTCGTTACCTGTATAAAAGACACCTGGGAGCCAGAAATCTTTCTGATTGAGAGGGGGTCAAATACTTATTTCCCTCATTAACATGCAAATCAATTTATAACATTTTTGACATGCGTTTTTCTGGATTTCTTTGTTGTTATTCTGTCTCTCACTGTTCAAATAAACCTACCATTAAAATTATAGACTGATAATTTCTTTGTCAGTGGGCAAACGTACAAAATCAGCAGGGGATCAAATAATTTTTTCCCTCACTGTATTGAGTGTAAGGGGGCAATTACTTTTTCACACAGCGGCATTGGGTGTTGCATAACTTTGTTTAATGAAATAAATCAAATAAGTATGTAATTGTTGTGTTACTTGTTCACTCAGGTTCCTTTTTTATCTAATATTAGGTTTTGGTTGAAGATCTGATAACATTCAGTATATAAAATATGCAAAAGTAGAGAAAATTATAAAGGGGTCAAATGCTTTTTTTCTTTATAATGGGTTAGTTTAGTGCAGAGGTACTCAAGTACTATTTGAGAAGGTCCAGTCATAAACATTTCCTAGGTGGCAAAGTTCCAGATGGTTATTGTAATTTATCGGCATAGTAACAAACCCATACTGTTCACACCCCTCTTGTTGGCAGAGAGAAAATGTTGCAGTTTTAAAGTGAATTTCCTGCAATTCTACATATTTTTTCATGTGTTATGTGTGTTTATATTATACCAGATTATTATACCAAGTTTTCATACGGTTTCATAAGCTTGTTGGGAAAGTGGTCAAAATGTATGTTATTTGTAAAAAATAAAAATAAAATAAATGATATAATGAATTTGATGCGATTGCTAAAACACCTTGATTGGTAGAAGTTATTTCTGTTCTGATTTCAGATTTGAATAGCAGAGAAGTAAACTAAGATTTGATATGCTTTAAATTTTTGTCTAACTTGTTTGGAAAGTGGTCAAAGTAGCATTTGTTTTAAAAAAGTCGAGAAAATGTAGTTGATGCGGTTACTAAAACAGCTGTATCGTTTGATTGGTTGAATATATATTTTTTCTGTTTCCAATAGCAGAGAAGTACACTAAGATTCCATACACTAAGATTTTGTCTAACTTGTTGGGAAAGCGGTAAATGTAGCTGATTTGCGTTTACAGTGAAAACACTTTTGGAAGTCACAGCTAAAAAGGGGATTTTTTAACAATGGGAGCTTTAGAATGTTGAAGAAATCCTATTAAAGTGGATGAGGTTTAATAAAAGCTTAATAGTTAAAAGTCACACTAATAAAACACATAACAACAACTCCTGAAACATAACATTAACTTTTATTAATTCAAGCAAACTGTTACAGTCAACAGTTACATAAGTTTTTTTTAACACAGGTATCATTTTCCACTCTCCCACTCCCCAAACATAGAAACAGCTAATTCATACCAGCGCAGGCAAAAAAGTAGTAACAGCACAATACATTAATCAACTCAACGATATGTCTGTACAAAGAGTAAGGCAAGTAGAAGAAAGAACGAAAGAAAGAAAAGAAAGAGAAAGAAAGAAAAGGACGGTAGACATCTTCTTCAAAGGGAGCCGTGAAGGCAGATGACTCCTTCTTTCTCACCATGGCCCCGCCCCCTTGGCAGCAGAAACACAGGTAGACCAACGGCATTATTTAATTTAAATTCTTCATAGCAACTGTTAAGGCTCTCTTCAATCTGTATCGCTGAAGTTCAGCGTTACAGCGTGATTGAAATTGAAAGGTAATATTCACGAGTTAGCGGAGACTGCATTCACAGTAAACGCAGCACCTGTCGGCGCAATTGGAAATTACCTTAAAATGTGTATTGCACAATCTGTAACGCTTCAGTGATACAGATTGAACAGAGCCCTTATTTAGTGTTCTAGAGTCAAACGAGATAAGGCTTCTCGTTAGTTGACACACAGAGAGAGGGGGAACCTGGGAAATAAGCTGCCTTCGATATTGGTTCTGTAAAGTGGTTCTTATTGGTCAGACACTACTGTAAAGTGGTTCTTGTTGGTCAGACCACACTGGGCAAAGACTTCAATTCAACGTCTATTCCACGTTGGTTCAACGTAATTTAATTGAAATGACGTGGAAACAACGTTGATTAAACCAGTGTGTGCCCAGTGGGAAACTACTGTTAAGTGGTTCTGATTATTCTAATATCTCACCATTATCCTTCTTTAATCATACAACAACCATCACATAACATCTCATCATCACAATATTTTCCTTGTTCTAAGGTGATAAGTCAAATGCTGATAATATAAAAACAAAGAACGACTCCAATAAATCTCCTCAGCAAATAACCACAGCCGACTGATATTCAGGATGGCTACCATCCTTCAAGTAGTTCATATTGGTAACAACTGGCCCATTTAAAAACGGCATGTGTTTTTCTGTTAGAAAAGAAACTCAAAGTAGAGAAAATAAAATACAGAATCCATTCACCTCCACTTTGGCCCACCAGGAGGCAGGATAGTACTAAGGACAGTAGTGTCATGCCACCTTGTTACATTAATACTGAACAGCGAGAAACAAACAGGAAATAAAAAATGAGTGGTTCTTCATCAATAGTTTTTCTTTAAAAGGTTATCGAAAAGAAAAAAACAGTTTGGTTATTTTTCATTTTTGAAACAACTGTACACGAGGAGGATTTCATACAATTGGAGGATAAAGAAGGAAAAGAACATGAGAGCAACTGAACGATGTGCAGTAGTGTTGAAAAATGAGTACAAAAATCTCTTCCGACCAGAACACGTGGAACAAACAACTGACATGGAGCTTTTCATCCAAACACACATAGAAGAACAGTAATTGACAGAGAGAGAGAGAGAGAGTGAGCGAGAGAGAGAGAGAGAGAGGGGGAGAGGCAGAGAGAGGTGTAGAGTAGTGTATGAAAGGGAAGCAAAACAGGACTGACAGAGGATAGTGGTTGTAAGGATGGGGAGTATAGTTGGGCGACAGTTTTGCCCTCTGTCCCCTTCTCTTCTCCTCTCCCTCCATCTCGTTCACTCCATCCAGTCTCCCTCGTCGAACTCGGACTCGTCCTCCGAGTCGGAGTACTCGACGGCGATGCGTCGGGACAGGATGGTGGCCACGTCGTTCCCCACACGTTCGTGTTTGGCCGCCTCCTGCTCCCTCTGTTCCTCCACCTTCCTGAGCTGGATACCTGGGGGGAGGGAGGCAGAGAGGGAGAGGTCACATAAGTCCAACTCTCTTTCTCTGTCCTCAACATCAAGGACAAGACAAACGGCTAGCTAGTTACCTTTAAAAGGAACACTACTTTTGATTACGGCAACCTATAAGACAGAGTGGAACAGCTTTCTTCTGTTATAAAACTGTCCAATGACCACACACATTGAGCTTCGGATGCTACCATATTACCACAATACCCAGATCTACTGGCTTATACACTGAGGCCCCACCCACCTTTCCGGATGGCCTCCAATAAGACGCTGCGTGCGTCGCTGATGGGTGGCAGGCTGGCAGAATGTTTCTTCCCGCTGGAGTGAGAGGCTGGGGACCCCACGGCACCTGACAGGAACGAAGGCACGGGGGGCGGGCCCGGCGGGCAGGGGGAGGAGCTCCGTGCTCCTGGGAGAGGCAGAGGAGGAGGAGGGGGAGGGGGCAGCACTGTGCCATCTGATTGGCCAGGGCGCGGGCCCTTATCCAGGACCTGTTGGAGGCGGGCCGGGGAGGAGAGGTGGAGGGGAGGGGCCACGGGGGGAGGGGCAGGGTGTAGGACGCCAGGGGCGATCTGGAGGGGGGTGGGGGGAGGGGGGATGGCCGGGGGCTGCTGCTGGACTGGTAGAGGAGGGATAGGGGGAGGAGGGGTGCCCCGTGGGCCAGACCCGGACATGGAAGGCAAAGGGGGAGGTGGTGGGGGCAAGGGGGGAGGCGGAGGGGGAGGGGTGTTAGAGTTGAAGCCGTGCATCTGTGCTGGAGACTGGGGTCTGCTGTCTGAAAAACCTGAACTGGAGCTGAGGAGAGAGCGAGAGAGACGGAAAGAGAGAGAGAAACAAAGATAAAGAGATACTGTTAATCGGAAGCTAACTTATAATCGGGGGGGGGCAAGAGAGAGCAAGAAATGGAAGGAAATCTAGCGGAGATAACAGGGAGTTGGAGAGTGAAGCAAGAAGGAGAAAGACATCTAGCTTTAAACTCTTGTTGTACACTCAGAGTGCAACAAGCTAATTAGCTGTACTGTGTTATGTCCGACGCCATCTAGAGCCGTGTTTCACAACCCTGGTCCTCGAGTACCCCCAACAGTACACAGTTCGTTGTAGCCCTTGATAAACACACCTCAATTAACTAATTAAGGACTTGATGATTAGTTGACAAGTTGAATCAGATGTGCTTGTCCAGGGATTCAATAAAAATGTGTACTGTTGGGGGTACTCGAGGACCAGGGTTGGGAAACACTGCTCTAGAGTCTATATGGCTGGGCTGACAACAAAGGTCAACACAAAGGGTGAGTGTACTGCAGGTTCTCTCTCTCTCTCTCAAGCTCTTTGAGGTAATTTCTCCTGACATGTTCTCTCTCTCTCCCCATTTCTCCCAATCTCTTCCTGTCCCTGACTAACACTTACTTGTCATGCTAAGCATTACATAACTGATGTCTAGTCATCCAAACACTGCATGCATCAAACCTATCTAGATAAATTAGTCTGACATGCATGGTCTATACAGAACTAGAGAAAAGGCAAAAGAAAGATAGAAACACAACAATAATCCGGAGAGAGAACAAAATGAGAGATGGGGAGGAAAGAGCAAAAGGAGAGATGGGGGAGAGAGGAGAGAGAGCAAAAGAGAGAGAAACTGGATAGAAACAGCAACAGTGAGAATCAATGGCACATTTCTCCTCTGCTCCAGTTTCCTTATCCCCTCTTCTCTGATCGCTCCAGAGATTGGAACAGTAAGGGCTGTGTTTGCTCTACAGGGAAAACGTCTGCCTCGGCCCTCGCTAGCCTCAGCACCTTATCGATCCCCTCCACAGCTCCCTCTGTCCTCAACTTCGATCCACTATCCCCCCTCCCCTCCCAGCCCACCCATCCATCTGTTCATCCTTCCCTCTTTTCTTCTGCCCACGCTCCAACGGAGCACAAAAGTCTGGGGATGGAAACACACCTTCAGCCGCTCGCATCCCATCATTAGAGTTAACACAATTGGCTAGAAAACAGAGCAACAGAGTAGAGAAAAGAACTGAAAACAAAAAAATGAGATTTGTATGCACTTGGAGTGAAAAGCGTCCTCAGAGTCACAAAGCCAGAGAGCCAAAGAGGTGGTGGGGAGACACTCCCATGTGGTAATGCGTTCTCCGTTGTGTGGGTGTGAGTGCCTTTGTGTGCGTGTGTGTGGGTATGTGTGTCTCTGCCTCTGTGTGTGTTACCCACCTGATCATGGAGGGGGGTTTGATGTCTCCCAGAGTGTGCATGGGGGGCAGTGGTGGGGGGTCGTGGGGTCGCGTGTACATTCTGTCCCCAGGACGGTTCAGCAGCTTGTTCATTTGACTGTAGGGCAACGCTGCTAGGGAGAACGGCCCGTCCATCCCTTCCAAGTACATTGGAGCTCTGAGAGAGAGAGAGGGGGTCACAAATGCTCCATATAGAGTAGCGTTGGGGTTTAATAGCGTTCCACAGTGCTCCATATACAGAGATACAAGGATGCGCACACACACACTCACCCAGACCTGTCGTGGTAGGTGGCGGAGCCGTTAGCCTCTCTTTCTTTTAAGGCTTCCTCAGAGTCGTCCTCAGCTAGCTCTGCCCCGAGTGCCAGTTTCTGCCACTCCTTCTTCCGGTCGTGAGGCGCCCGCGGTACCTTCTCAGTCTCCAGAGTACGGTCATTTCCCCTTACCTGGAGGAGGAGGGAGGGAGGGAGGGAGGGAGGAAGATAGAGAGGGAAGAGAGGACAGAGGCAAGAGAGGGATAAACTAGAGTTTTAATCTGCACAGAACTATTAGACAGAAACACAGAACTTCATTGAAGTTTCCTATACACCTCATTTAACCAGTCATGTCTGCTTTGATCACAAGTAGGGGGAATAACTATCTGTTTATTTTACATTTAGAGAGAAAGAGAGAGAGAGAGCGAGAGAGAGAGAGAGAGAGAGAGAGAGAGAGAGAGAGAGAGAGAGAGAGAGAGAGAGAGAGAGAGAGAGAGAGAGAGAGAGAGAGAAAAGAGAGAAAAGAGATTGAATAGAGAGATTGAGGGAGAGAGAGAGAGAGAGAGAGAGAGAGAGAGGATTGAATAGAGAGAGAGAGAGAGGGAGAGAGAGGTTTGAATAGAGAGAGTGAGGGAGAGATGCATACATTTCTGTGCCAATAACTAAAAACTAAAGATCCATCATCCAGGCGGCAAGCACACATACACACACACACTCCAGTAAAGCCTCATAAGCAAATATAATTTCCGCTCTTGGGTTTGCACAGCTGCTGTTGTCATAGCGACTCCTCTCATTTTCATTGGAGACTAAGCAATATGGTATATTTACATAGAAACAGAGTAGGATGCTCATTCTACTCACATAGGAATAGGATGCTCAGTCTACACATACAGTGCATTCGGAAAGTATTCAGACCACTTCCCTTTTTGCATATTTTGTTACGTTACAGCCTTATTCTAAAATTGATTAAATGGACAAAGAAATCTACACACAATACCCCATAATGACAAAGCAACCATATCTGCATCACTCCACCAATCAGGCCTTTATGGTACAGTGGCCAGACAGAAGTCACTCCTCAGTAAAAGGCACATGACAGCCCCCATGAGAAACAAGATGCTCTTGTCTGATGAAACCAAGATAGAACTCTGTGGCCAAAGGTGCTTCAACAAAGTACTGAGTAAAGGGTCAGATTTTTTTTTCTTCCGTTTCCCCCCCCCCAAAATGTCTAAAAACCTGTTTTTCTTTGTCATTATGGGGTTTGTGTGTAGATTGATGAGGGGAAAAAACTATTAAATCCATTTTAGAATAATGCTGTAACGTAATGCTGTAAAAGTAAAGGGGTCTGAATACTTTCCGAATGCAGTGTATATAAACAGGACACACAGAAGGTGGCACACAAGACAGAAGAAGTTGAAGGCAGAACTTAGAGTAGGTGAGAAAGGACTGACTGACTGGGTAGAACAAGACAATGCTGACATTTACATTACAGGGCTTCTTACATGTACAGTACCACACAAAACATTGTGTGTATTTTACACCAAAGTTTAAAAAAGATAAGATCCAAATAATAGTCAATTAAATGTTACTGTACTTTAGTAATTTATGCATTTTTGCCCAAACACACTACAGATTCCCTAGTTCCCATATCTACAGCACTGAGAAAGTGATGTTAGGTCTTTATAATGCATTATAGCATGTCTAAATGTTGTTCTAGGGACTAAGAGCTGCCAACACGTCACACACTGATACTGGAAGACACACGGTTTGTAATGAGATCACATACCTGCCCAGGGAGGTCTAAGTACCTATAGACCTGATCATACATGCGGGGGTCCTGCAACTACAAGAACAAAATGACAAGAGAAGCACCAGGGGCGCACAAATTAACACCACACAGCGCAATAGAACGCAACACCACTGGCTGCTGAGCGTAGCAAAAATAGGACAGCAGCAGCAGAGCATTGAAACAGATGAGGAAGCAAAACTCTGTTAAACACAAAATGACATGACACAGCTGGACTCCATGGCAGCGCAGTCAGACACAGCGATAGAGCGCAAAACATACAATTTGACATTCACCACTTACAAACCAAATGACAGAGTGGACTGGAGCGCATACACACACACGCAGCGCCAAACAAACTCAAAGATAACAGAGCTGTTCAGCCATACAAAGATAATGAAGAGACAGTACAAAACAAGAATTCAACATAAAAGAAAATAGCCTATTTGAACACACAAAAAGCACAAAGCAAGCACCCCATGCACAACACAGTGCAGCCTGACACAACAAACACATGACAAAGTTGTTTAGCATTAGCACAACATGGTTAGCGCCATGGAAGGAAGGAAGCACAAGGCAGCAAAATAACAAGAGGGAGTCATCCTTCATAGAAACACCTGGCTAGCTTACCACCAACAACATCCTACACAAAGACAGTTGGTGTTTCTACTCTGTTGCTATCCAGCAGAAATCTCAACAATGTGGCCAAACACTTTAGTTAAACAAAGCATCTGCCTCAAATCATTATGCTAATTAGGCACATGTTATTGTTTTTATAATCTTAATGTAACACCTTGCTTAAACATCCTACACACAAGCATAATGAGACACTTATGATGCACTAAGATATAACAAATAGTTGTTGTGAGACAATGGTTTAGATGAATATGCAGTAAAATATCTGGAGTTGTGAGACATAGCAGGTGGAGGTCACATCGCTGGACTGGACTGTATGTGACCATACAGTGCATTCGGAAAGTATTCAGACCCCTTTACTTTTTCCACATTTTGTTACATTAGTCTTATTCTAAAATTGATTAAATCAATTGTTTTCCTCATCAATCTATACACAATACCCCATAATGACAAAGCAAAGACAGGTTTTTAGAAATGTTTGCACATAAAAAAACAAAACAGAAATACCTTATTTACATACGTTTTCAGACCCTTTGCTATGAGACTCGATATTGAGCTCAGGTGCATCCTGTTTCCATTGATCATCCTTGAGATGTTTCTACAACTTGATTGGAGTCCATTTGTGGTCAATTCAATTGATTGGACATGATTTGGAAATGCACACACCTGTCTATATAAGGTCCCACAGTTGACAGTGCATGACAGAGCAAAAACCAAGCCATGAGGTCCTATAGGGCGGCGCACAATTGGCCCAGCATCGTCCGGGTTTAGCCGGCGATCGAACATCTCTGAAGAGACTTGAAAATAGCTGTGCAGTGACGATCCCCATCCAACCTGACAGAGCTTGAGAGGATCTGCAGAGAAGAATGGGAGAAACTCCCCAAATATAGGTGTGCCAAGCTTGTAGCATCATACCCAAGACGACTCGAGGCTGTAATCGCTGCCAAAGGTGTTTCAACAAAGTACTGAGTAAAGGCTCTGAACACTTATGTATGTAAATTTGATATTTCAGTTTTGTATTTTTAATAGATTTGCACAAATTTCTAAAAACCTGTTTTTGCTTTGTCATTATGGGGTATTTTGTGTGTATATTGATGAGGGGAAAAAACAATTTAATCCATTTTAGAATAAGGCTGTAAAGTAACAAAATGTGGAAAAAGTCAAGGGGTCTGAACACTTTCCCAATGCACTGTATGTACTGTAGAATTAATAACACACGCACGCACAAAAAATTGCTTGATCGATTGTTGATCAATCAACATTCCTGTTAGTAAGTACAGTGTAACTCTAATCTAACTCATGCAGAGAACTCATGTTGTGTCGTCATACTGAACAAAAATATAAATGTGCAGCCATGGGTGGGCCTTGGAGGGCATAGGCCCACCCACTTGGCAGCCAGGCCCTGCCAATCAGAATATATTTTTTCCCCACAAAATGACTTTATTACAGACAAAAATATTCCTCAGCACCCCCCCTCAGACGACCCCGCAGGTGAAGAAGCCGGATGTGAATGTCCTGGGCTGGCGTGGTTTCACGTGGTCTGCGGTTATGAGGCCAGTTGGACATACTGTCAAATTCTCTCAAACGACGTTGGAGGCAGCTTATGGTAGAGAAATGAACATTAAATTCTCTGGCAACAGCTCTGGTGGACATTCCTGCAGTCAGCATGCCAATTGCACACTCCCTAAAAACTTGAGACATCTGTGGCAATGTGTTGTGTGACAAAACTGCACATTTAAAGTGGTATTTTATTGTCCCCAACACAATTTCCCCCAGTGTAATGATCATGTTGTTTAATCAGCTTCTTGTTATGCCACACCTGTCAGGTGGATGGATTATCTTGGCAAATGAGAAATGCTCACTAACAGGGATGGAAACAAATTTGAGCACAAAATATACATGTTGCGTTCATATTTTTGTTCAGTGTAGTTTGTTTCTGTGACACATGCTCATTTGTGTGACAGACAATCAGGTGGGCGTGTGACACAACGTCGGGTTGTGATTTGACGAGACATGTATTGGGCCGGTGTCAGCCTCGTTGTGTTTGGCTAATTGTAGTTGACCCCGCCCCCACCCTGTCCCTGTGGTGCCCAGGGTAGTCAGTAGTCACACAGCAGAGAGAAGGAAACATAATGAATCCTAAAAGTAATGCACATTGATTAGCCACGATTAATCAGAGGCCATTATGCTGATGTTATAAATGTGGCTGATGTCAGGGCCCTGTATGACTAACTCATGCAGTCCTCCTTCATCTGAATGTGGCAGTGGCACAGGAGTGTGTGTGTGTGTATATACAGTGTGTGTGAGTGTGTGTGTGTAATGTGACAGGCTTAGCATAATGCCACCCCCAGCGGTCTCTCTACTCCCCTGTGGAGGTCCTAACCCAGCCTGGGCGTGGGAAGGAGGGGAGCTATGGTCCCCTTTACAGCCTGGTACAGTTACCTAATCATCATTAGGTCATTAGCATGGAGACTGTATACTAAGTACATTGTAGAAAATACCTACTTGTAAAGTACAGGTAGTGAAGTACAGTGAGAAATATGTGATTAAGACCAAGCTCTGACATCAGATCACAACCATCCTGGCAGTTAGTGGAAACCCAAAGAAACCCAAAGAGTGGAGGGAGGGGTCTGTGTTAGTGGGCACCACACAGTGGTCCCGGGTGCAGGTGAGGGACGAGGGCGGCAGGTTAACCCAAAAGGTTACAATCCCTGTGATATAAGCAGAATCCAACTAGCGGCCAGCCAGTGATCATCTCAGGTGCACCTCGTAGTTAGGGAGGTAATTAGCAAGGGTTTCCTGGTAAGTAGCAGGGGTTTGAAGCAGAATTAGTGGGGATCTAATGTACTGCCGTGAGGAACGGCAAAGGCAAAAGGAGAGGGGTAGATAGAGGGGCAGCAGGCTAACCTGAGGGTCCCAGGACGGGGTCTGAGGGGTGAGGGGCGGGGCAGTCTTACCTCTGGGGGGGCGAGGAGGGGAGGGGGTTCAGAGGGGACTCTGATAAGGCCTGCCGGCCACACATGAAAAGGCAATTCCATCTGCACAGAGTCAGAGACAACAGAGACAGAGGAGAGGACGAAGGGAAAGAGAGAGGGAGGTAGGGAAGAGTGGGAGGTAGGGAAGAGAGGGATACTAGCTAAGGCATGAGAGGTTTCAGGTGTCTAGATGTATTAGAAAGGGGCAGTAATCCTTCATAAGAATATATACAGCAGGTACATATACTTCCCTATGTCAAATATAACTGTCCTGTGCCCTAGTAGCTCCAGAAACAACACACATAGCTATAGCGTAGCCCCTTGTCCAAGATTACATCCCCATGTAGCCTATCTGTATGTGTTTGCCAGACAGTGTAACACGCAGTGATGTGTGCATTAGCTGTGGCCATCGCTGCTTATTGACAGTGTGTCTGTCTCTCCATCTTACTGCATCTGCTTTCAGTCTCTGGCCAGCTCAGCACGGCAATACAATGTAGGGTTGCTATGGCAACCCCAATGAGGGGTAGGGGGGTTGGAGCATGGGGTGGGGAACCTGACCGGTAACACTGTGTTTGAGGGCAGTAATGGAAAAAAGTTCCCTGATATCCTCAAAGATGTTCTAGAGATGCTTGTACACTATCTCTATCACACACACCTCTACTTGAGAGGCATATTAAGCTGATGTAGCTGCATTATTCAATGAGCTCAACAAGCGAGTGTAAGTCTTATAATGAGTCATGGACACACACTCAACCTGACGACACCCTTAGATATCTATCTATCTATCTATCTATCTATCTATCTATCTATCTATCTATCTATCTATCTATCTATCTATCTATCTATCTATCTATCTATCTATCTATCTATCTATCTATCTATCTATCTATCTATCTATCTATCTATCTATCTATCTATCTATCTATCTATCTATCTATCTATCTATCTATCTATCTATCTATCTATCTATCTATCTATCTATCTATCTATCTATCTATCTATCTATCTATCTATCTACAGTGCCTTGCAAAAGTATTCATCCCCCTTGGAGTTTTTCCTATTTTGTTGCATTACAACCTGTAATTGAAATGGATTTTTATTTGGATTTCATGTAATGAACATACACAAAATAGTCCAAATTGGTGAAGTTAAATGAAAAAAATTACTTATTTCAAAGAATTCTAAAATATAAATAACAGAAAAGTGGTGCGTGCATATGTATTCACCCCCTTTGCTATGAAGCCCGTAAATAAGATCTGGTGCAACCAATTACCTTCAGAAGTCACATAATTAGTTAAATAAAGTCCACCTGTGTGCAATCTAAGTGTCACATGATCTGTCACATGATCTCAGTATATATACACCTGTTCTGAAAGGCCCCAGAGTCCGCAACACCACTAAGTAAGGGGCACCAACAAGCAAGCGGCACCATGAAGACCAAGGAGCTCTCCAAACAGGTCAGGGACAAAGTTGTGGAGAAGTACAGATCAGGGTTGGGTTATAAAAAAAAAATCTGAAACTTTGAACATCCCACGGAGCACCATTAAATCCATTATTAAAAAATGCTAAGAATATGGCACCACAACAAACCTGCCAAGAGAGGGCCGCCCACCAAAACTCACAGACCAGGCAAGGAGGGCATTAATCAGAGAGGCAACAAAGAGACCAAAGATAACCCTGAAGGAGCTGCAAAGCTCCACAGCGGAGATTGGAGTATCTGTCCATAGGACCACTTTAAGCCGTACACTCCACAGAGTGGGGCTTTACGGAAGAGTGGCCAGAAAAAAGCCATTGCTTCAAGAAAAAAATAAGCAAACACGTTTGGTGTTCGCCAAAAGGCATGTGGAAGACTCCCCAAACATATGGAAGAAGGTACTCTGGTCAGATGAGACTAAAATTGAGCTTTTTGGCCATCAAGGAAAACACTATGTCTGGCGCAAACCCAACACCTCTCATCACCCCGAGAACACCATCCGATGTTTTTCATCGGCAGGGACTGGAAAACTGGTCAGAATTGAAGGAATGATGGATGGCGCTAAATACAGGGAAATTCTTGAGGGAAACCTGTTTCAGTCTTCCAGAGATTTGAGACTGGGACGGAGGTTCACCTTCCAGCAGGACAATGACCCTAAGGATACTGCTAAAGCAACACTCGAGTGGTTTAAGGGGAAACATTTAAATGTATTGGAATTGCCTAGTTAAAGGCCAGACCTCAATCCAATTGAGAATCTCTGGTATGACTTAAAGATTGCTGTACACCAGCGGAACCCATCCAACTTGAAGGAGCTGGAGCAGTTTTGCCTTGAAGAATGGGCAAAAATCCCAGTGGCTAGATGTAACAAGCTTATAGAGACATACCCCAAGAGACTTGCAGCTGTAATTGCTGCAAAAGGTGTCCCTACAAAGTATTGAGTATTGAGTCCTCTCTCTCTCTCTCCTCTCTCTCTCTCTCTCTCTCTCTCTCTCTCTCTCTCTCTCTCTCTCAATTCAATTCAATTTCAATTTAAGGGCTTTATTGGCATGGGAAACGTGTGTTAACATTGCCAAAGCAAGTGAAGTAGATAGTAAACAAAAGTGAAATAAACAATAAATATTAACAGTAAACATTACACTCAGAAGTTTCAAAAGAATAAAGACATTTCAAATGTCATATTATGTATATATACTGTGTTGTAACAATGTGCAAATAGTTAAAGTACAAATGGGAAAATAAATCAACATAAATATGGGTTGTATTTACAATGGTGTTTGTTCTTCACTGGTTGCCCTTTTCTTGTGGCAACAGGTCACAAATCTTGCAGCTGTGATGGCACACTGTGGTTTTTCACCCAGTAGATAAGGGAGTTTATCAAAATTGGGTTTGTTTTCTAATTCTTTGTGGATCGCTGTAATCTGAGGGAAATATGTGTCTCTAATATGGTCATACATTTGGCAGGAGGTTAGGAAGTGCAGCTCAGTTTCCACCTCATTTTGTGGGCAGTGTGCACATAGCCTGTCTTCTCTTGAGAGCCAGGTCTGCCTACGGTGGCCTTTCTCAATAGCAAGGCTCTCTCTCTCTCTCTCTCTTCTTAACTCACTATCCTGTAGTTGAATGGCTGTATCTCATGATGTGTCTGAACCCAAACCAGAACTGTGTGTAAAGTCCAGTAATCCTCCCTCCCTGGGCTCAGTGGGCTGCCATCCTCGCTCTTTGTACGTGGTCTGCACTCTGTACTATAATGGCTGCCAGTGTATTGCGGTGCAGGGGAAATTAATAGGGCTTCATAACCCCACTGAGTTAGGTCTTTTATGAGACTGGGATCTGGCCTCAACTCCCCACCATCCCAACTCAATACTCTGTCTACACCAAATAAGTCCTATTAAATACTGTATCTAGCTATATATTGTTCTGTGAAATATTTCTGTATACAATTTCTGTATTCCCAGTCCTTCTCTAAACACACTGTGGTGTGACTGTTACTGTCCCCTGTTCCCTGACTGTGTCTTGTGACTGAACCATTCATCACCACCACAAAAACCCAAACCTCAATTTTTATATCCCCAAACCTCTCTAGCAGGGTTCCCTCTGGAAGCTCCCTCCTCATTGGTTGGTTGTGCTCGAAAATCTAACCACGTTGGGCTCTGATTGGATGGTTATGGTGAAGAGAGGGCTATAGCCCACCTATCAAGCGTGGAGAGACAAGCTGGTGCTGAGTAGCATCGTAGGGAGCCCCTGTGGCTAGCCGCGGGAGACCCCTCCATCTGCACAGGAGCTGACTGCTCTGTAATTTAGGGACTGTGGGGGGGGAGAGGGAAGGAGGAGATCTCGGAGGACACACAAACACTCCCTCATGATTGTGTGTGTGTGTGTGTTCACTATGAGTGTCTGTAAATCTCACTGAGTATACACAGTGTTCTCCCTCATGAGAGCAATTGTGTGTACGGTATGTGGGTGTATGCATATGTGTGTGTGTACAGTTTGAGTGTCTCTAAGGACAAACAAAGGCTCCCTCATGAGGTGCGAGGGCAGAGAGAGGGCAGATCCAAACATTAATTAGAGTAAATAACTAGACAACAGAGAACCACTCTGTATCCTTCCCTCCCTAATGCTCAACTATTACAGAGATACATAGTTAATGGATCCGTGTGTGTGTGTGTGAGTGTGTAGAGTATGCTATTGGGTCGATATACTGAAGTCACTCTGTATCTCAGTGATTTATGCTCACCCCATCTTTCTCCACCCCACTGACCCATATTGACCAGTGTGTTTCTGTGTTTGTGTGTGTGTGTTTGTATGAATCGCTGACCACAGACTACAGTGTTCTCATTCATTTCACTGTCTCCTTCGCCACATACAGTACCAGTCAAAAGTTTGGACACACCTACTCATTCAAGGGTTTTTCCTTTATTTGTACTATTTTCTACATTGTAGAATAATAGTGAAGACATCAAAACTATGAAATAACACATATGGAATCATGTAGTAACCAAAAAAGTGTTAATCAAATCAAAATATATTATATATTTTTTATATTCTTCAAAGTAGCCACCCTTTGCCTTGATGACAGCTTTGCACACTCTTGGCATTCTCTCAACCAGCTTCATGAGGAATGCTTTTCCAAAAGTCTTGAAGGAGTTCCCACATATGCTGAGCACTTGTTGGCTGCTTTTCCTTCACTCTGCAGTCCAACTCATCCCAAACCATCTCAATTGGGTTGAGGTCAGGTGATTGTGAAGGCCAGGTCATCTGATGCAGCACTCCATCACTCTCCTTGGTCAAATAGTCCTTACACAGCCTGGAGGTGTGTTTTGGGTCATTGTCCTGTTGAAAAACAAATGATAGTCCCACTAAGCGCAAACCAGATGGGATGGTGTATCGCTGCAGAATGCTGTGGTAGCCATGCTGGTTAAGTGTGCCTTGAATTCTAAATAAATCACAGACGGTGTGTGGGTGCTTTGCTGGTGACACTATTACACCTCCTCCTCCATGCTTCACGGTGGGAACCACACATATGGAGATCATCCGTTCGCCTACTCTGCGTCTCACAAAGACACGGCGGTTGGAACCAAAAATCTCAAATTTGGACTCATCAGACCAAAGGACAGATTTCCACCAGTCTAATGTCCATTGCTCGTGTTTCTTGGTCCAAGCAAGTCTTTTCATCTTATTGGTGTACTTTAGTAGTGGTTTCTTTGCAGCAATTCGACCATGAAGGCCTGAATCACGCAGTCTCCTCTGAACAGTTGATGTTGAGATGTGTCTGTTACTTGAACTCCGTGAATATTTTATTTGGGCTGCAATCTGAGGTGCAGTTAACTCTAATGAACTTATCCTCTGCAGCAGAGGTAACTCTGGGTCTTCCTTTCCTGTGGCGGTCCTCATGAGAGCCAGTTTCATCATAGCGCTTCATGGTTTTTGCGACTGCACTTGAAGAAACGTTCAAAGTTCTTCAACTTTTCCGGATTGCCTGACCTTCATTTCTTAAAGTAATGATGGACTGTCATTTCTCTTTGCTTATTTTAGCTGTTCTTGCCATAATATGGACTTTTACCAAATAGGGCTATCTGCTGTATACCACCCCTACCTTGTCACAACACAACTGATTGGCTCAAACGCATTAAGAAGGAAAGAAATTCCACAAATTAAGTTTTAACAAGGCACACCTGTTAATTGAAATGCATTCCAGGTGACTACCTCATGAAGCTGGTTGAGAGAATGCCAAGAGTGTGCAAAGCTGTCATTGAGGGAAAGGGTGGCTACTTTGAAGAATCTCAAATGTCAAATATATTCTGATTTGTTTAACACTTTTTTGGTTACTACATGATTCCATATGTGTTATTTCATAGTTTTGATGTCTTCACTATTATTCTACAATGTAGAAAATAGTAAAAATAAAGAAAAACCCTTGAATGAGTAGGTGTGTCCAATTGTTTGACTGGTACTATATATGGTCTGTAGTTCTAGATGCTAATAATAGAGGCAATTCTGACCCAAGAACAGTTCCAATATTGAGCTCAGGTCCAGAAGCTACTTGGTGACACAGCACCTCAGCTAAGTACCAATGGCCAAACAACACCACGCTGAATCCTCCAATAAGTAGACAGGATGCTGGTGATGGCCCGGCCCACTGGCCAATGGCAGCCCTTCCTTACCTTCTGTTTCCTCTTCTCTTTCCTCTTGTCCTCTGTGTCTTGCAGCATCTTCTCTCTCCACAGGTCAAAGAAGTAGGAGGGGTTGGTGTAGAACTTCAGCCCCTCCTTACCATCATCCCTGTAGGAGCAGTAGGAAACCAGAGTTACCCCTAGACACTGATTTAAGGTCAGTTTGCTGATCTGCGCCTATGGGTGACTGCTACTCGGAGCGTTGCAAACCAGAGAAGGCTGATGAGGGTCAAGTTTGACCTCTCTCTTTTTATCTTTTAATTTGTCTTTTTATTTCATCCTATCTTCACCCATGACCAGGAATAATACAACTGGAAGGAGGCAATCATCACTTCAAAACCACCTGTGACGAGGGAATCCATTACAGGGTTACATAACCCATAATGCACCTCTTAATGTGTGTGACAGGGCAACAGCAGCTGGATCTGAAGAATAACAGCCTGAGGTGACAGACAGCCCCCTGGTGAGAAGTTCAGGAGCGAGAGAGAAAGAAAAGAAGAAAGGGGGGGCATGGAATGAAAGAGAGGACAGAAACTCAAAAAGTGGTCCAGGAGTCCTTCAGAAGTGGTCAGAGAGCATGCTGGGTAAAGGGGTCTGTCTGTATGCAGTCCATAGTGATATCTACAGCTGCTTCTCAGTATAGACTAGCTCAACAGCCGACATCTATCCTAGAAAAGAAACAGACACTGAGCCATACAGCTATTAAACCCACACTATTAAACTGAGAACCCAGAAAAATAAAAGGCCCGGACTGCTGGCTGGGGTTTCATTATGGATTATTTATCTCCAGCTGACTCTCTCTCTCTCTCTCGCCTGCAACCTGAGCTAACAGCCAAGACAGACAGAGTGTGAAGAGACACAAAAATATTGATAAGGATACACACACATTCACACGTCTGCAGGGGAGTGTACACACACACGTGCACGCACACACGCACACACACAAACGGAGAACCAAGCAAGCAAGCATGAACACAGTATAAAGATCCACCAGGCAGAGTTTTCCCTCTCAGGTCAAAGCTGCTATTGGCCTGGTAGTATTTGCTTGGTGTGATCAATAATGCAGTGGTTGCATCAGTAGTGTTATCACACACAGACACACAGACAGACTAAGATTCTAACCAATGGGGCGTGATATTGAAGAGGTTCTTACCAATGACATCATGGTATGTTTATAGGCTATGGGCTGTTCAGGTGCTGACTAATAAGGTGTCAGGTTGCAATAACACTACCCAATCTGGAGAGAGGTTGCTGTGATGCTAACCTGTAGGGTGTGAGGATGTTGAGGGGTGGTGGCTGCTCGCAGAGGTCAAACGTCTCCTGCAGGGGGATGGGCAGCGACTGTCGGGAAAACAGCTGCTGGTCCTGGATGGTGGAGCTCCTAAACGCCTTCCTCATAGTAATGTCCTGGAGAGATACTGGAGAGAGAAAGAGAGAAAGAGAGAGAGACTATTTGCACATTGTTACAACACTGTATATATTCTTAATATGACATTTGAAATGTCTTAATTATTTTGGAACTTCTGAGTGTAATGTTTACTGTTAATATGTATTGTTTATTTCACTTTTGTTTATTATCTACTTCACTTGCTTTGGCAATGTTAACATACGTTTCCCATGCCAATAAAGCCCTTAAATTGAAATTGAATTGCGAGAGAGAGAGAGAGAGAGAGAGAGAGAGAGAGAGAGAGAGAGAGAGAGAGAGAGAGAGAGAGAGAGAGAGAGAGAGAGAGAGTCATGCAGAAGAACAGCTCCTGACTTTTTATAACTTTTTGGTTGTTAAAGGTGAGATGAACACGATTAGAAAAACATATATAAGTTATCAAATTGTACAACTGAAGATCAACACAAGAGGAAAAGATTGACAGAGTGTGAGTTAAAAGAGCGATCTTAAAGTGGAACTGACAGCATTTTAGCAACATGAAATCTTATTGAAATCTGTTCACATACTGTACACCCCCAGGAAGAATATTACACTTTAAAAAAAAAATCTGACAAACGAGCACTTAAATACGGTCATTTTCACATTTTCATAAATTCTTAGAATGTTTGGGAATTACATATACTAAAGCATTTGTGAAAATTATATAGCAATATAGAGTGGGAAAGCGGCCTTGAGTTTGGACAATTAATAGACACTGCAGTAAATAAAACCTAATAAAAACATCTGTCTCGTCCAGGACCAGAGTCTACGCAGACCGGTGTGCCATAGCCAATCAAAGCTACAGTCTGCCTTTATGCAAACAAGCCATTTGCCACACAGGGCTGCCATCATTTACTTTGAACTGGACTGTGTGTCTACAGTCATGGTCAAAGGTTTTGAGAATGACACAAGTATTGGTCTTCACAAAGTTTGCTGCTTCAGTGTTATGAGATATTTTTGTCAGATGTTACTATGGTATACTGAAGTATAATTACAAGCATTCCATGAGTGTCAAAGGCTTTTATTGACAATTACATTAAGTTTATGCAAAGAGTCAATATTTGCAGTGTTGACCCTTCTTTTTCAAGACCTCTGCAATCCGCCCTGGCATGCTGCCAATTAACTTCTGGGCCACATCCTGACTAATGGCAGCCCATTCTTGCATAATCAATGCTTGGAGTTTGTCAGAATTTGTGGGTTTTTGTTTGTCCACCTGCCTCTTGAGGATCGACCTCAAGTTCTCAATGGGATTAAGGTCTGGGGAGTCTTCTGGCCATGGACTCAAAATGTAGATGTTTTGTTCCCCGAGCCACTTAGTTATCACTTTTGCCTTATGGCAAGGTGCTCAATCATGCTGGAAAAGGCATTGGTCGTCACCAAACTGTTATTGGATGGTTGGGAGAAGTTGCTCTCAGAGGATGTGTTGGTACCATTCTTTATTCATGGCTGTGTTCTTAGGCAAAATTGTGAGTGAGACCACTCCCTTGGTTGAGAAGCAACCCCACACATGAATGGTCTCAGGATGCTTTACTGTTGGCATGACACAGGACTGATGGTAGCGCTCACCTTGTCTTCTCCCGGACAAGGTGTTTTCCGGATGCCCCAAACAATCGGAAAGGGGATTTCTCAGAGAAAATGATTTTACCCCAGTCCTCAGCAGTCCAATCCCTGTACCCTTTGCAGAATATCAGTCTGTCCCTGATGTTTTTCCTGGAGAGAAGTGGCTTCTTTGCTGCCCTTCTTGACACCAGGCCATCCTCCAAAAGTCTTTGCCTCACTGTGCGTGCAGATGGACTCACATCTGCCTGCTGCCATTCCTGAGCCAGCTCTGCACTGGTGGTGCCCCGATCCCTCAGCTGAATCAACTTTAGGTGACGGTCCTGGCACTTTCTTGGGCGCCCTGACGCCTTCTTCACAACAATTGAACCTCTCTCCTTGAAGTTCTTGATGATCCGATAAATGGTTGGTTTTGGTGCAATCTTACTAGCAGCAATATCCTTGCCTGTGAAGCCCTATATGTGCAAAGCAATGATGACGGCACGTGTTTCTTTGCAGGTAACCATGGTTAACAGAGGAAGAACAATGATTTCAAGCACCACCCTCCTTTTAAACTTCCAGTCTGTTATTCTAACTCAATCAGCATGACAGAGTGATCTCCAGCCTTGTCCTCGTCAACGCTCTCACCTGTGTTAACGAGAGAATCACTGACATGATGACAGCTGGTCCTTTTGTGGCAGGGCTGAAATGCAGTGGAAATGTTTTTTTTGGGGATTAAGTTCATTTTCATGGCAAAGAGGGACTTTACAATTAATTGCAATTCATCTGAGCACTCTTCATGACATTCTGGAGTATATGCAAATTGCCATCATCAAAACTGAGGCAGCAGACTTTGTGAAAATTATTATTTGTGTCATTCTCAAAACTTTTGACCAGGACTGTACAGGCAGTTGCAACAGCGCGACTTTAAATCATTAGAACGCCATTCGCCAAAAGCCACCTGAATGGATTTCTGCAAATATGTAAATACCACGGGAGTCCTCTTACATTTGGGAACTTTACAAACCTATTGATCAAACAACCATAAAAATTACAAAAATGTATTTGTTGCTACAAACTTCCTGCAAGTTTGTGGCAAATTTGCTGCAAACTAAATAGTGTGCCACAAAATGTTGCCAGAAGTTTGCAAATGCTAGTGGTGAATCTGCAGCAAGCCTTTGGCAACAATAATATTTATTGCCACTAGTGGCAAACAGTTTACCAGAAGCCGTTTCTGGTGAACACATGAGTTCCAAGACCAGTAACGTTGACCGTTGACGACCAATCAAGGGGATTAGAAACATCTGTTGGAAAATGGAAACAAAGCTATCTAGCTAGCTACAGCACCTACCAAAGTTGTCCGGTGAGTGTAACTTATTCATTAAAGTTCATAATAAACTTCAACATTTTATTAGCTAAATTATGCCTAGTTAGCAATGTCATGTTTTATGGGATAGATTGAAAGACATTTTGCTGATACCAGTTACATTCTATCAGCGCCACTGACTGACTGACTAGCGCTTAGCTAGCTAACATTAACTTTCATATTTTTGCACAAATCATTTGATAGGTAGGTAGCTAACTAATGATTTGCGTAAACACTTATGTTTAGGTGAATACGTTGTTGTCTTTTAATACTAATATGCATGTCAATATGCTAGTGTCACGGTTCAGTAGCTAGCACATCTGCTAAGGTAGCTAGTGACAATATTTGTTAATTTGACATCAGAGCAAAACTTCACTTTTGCAGATGGATACTCATCCCCTACCCGTGGATAGGCATAAAGTTAGCCTCACGAGCCTGCTTGCGACGCTAGCTTGTTGTCACAGAATATAACTAAATGTACAATGTTTGTTGACGTTTGGCTTGCTAACAAGCTAACTATGTCAATGTCTGTAACGGTAGCTAGCTACCTTAGCTTGCTAAGTCTGACACTTCTTCTGGACTGTCTCGGTCACTGTTTCACTCGTTAGGTAATGTTAGCTAAATTAGCTGGCTAGCTAAGTTACCATAGCTAGATTTTACTTATTCTCCATCTGGGTTAATTTAACCAAGCTATTTGGCAGACTTATCTCAGGCTGCATGGTGATTGATTGAGTTAGCTAGAGTTACTGTACTGGTTTACGGCTGGGACCGCAAGTTTGTGTCCCGGATTCCTGCTAAGTAGCAGTTAGATGCTAGCCATCATGAAAGCAGCTACCCCCACTTGCACATACATTGGGGGTAGGCTATCTACATTATGAGATTATTATGAGTAAGAGCGATATTATTTGTATGTCAAACGGCAGCCAAGCATCGATCATCATGTCACCAGAATAAGACCCTCAATATTTATTGGAAAGGAGCATCAAGCTCATCACCTTGCACATTCACCATTCTGTGAAGTTCATCATTGATTTAATCTGTAGCCTAATAAACTGCATGCTTTCCCGAGTCGTAGTGGGAGGACCACACAACATACACTATATATACAAAAGTATCTGTACACTCCTTCAAATTAGTGTATTAGGCTATTTCAGCGACACCTGTTGCTGACAGGTGTATAAAATCGAGCACATAGCCATGCAATCTCCATTGACAAACATTGGCAGTAGAATGGCCTTTTCTGAAGAGCTCAGTGGCTTTCAACGTGGCAACGTCATAGGATGCCACCTTTCCAACAAGTCAGTTCATTAAATTTCTGCCTCTGCTAGAGCTGCCCCATTCAATTGTAAGTGCTATTATTGTGAAGTGGAAACATCTAGGAGCAACAACTGCTCAGCTGTCGAAGTGGTAGGCCACACAAGCTCACAGAACTTGACCGCTGAGTGCTGAAGGACGTAGCACGTAAAAATTCTGTCACTACCGAGTTCCAAACTGCCTCTGGAAGCAACGTCAGCACAATAACTGTTTGTCGGGAGCTTCAGAAATGGGTTTCCATGGCCGAGCAGCCACACACAAGCCTAAGATCACCATGTGCAATGCTAAGCGTTGGCTGGAATGGTGTAAAGCTTGCCGCCATTGAACTCTGGAGCAGTGGAAACATGTTCTCTGGAGTGATGAACCACGCTTTACCATCTGGCAGTCTGATGGATGAATCTGTGTTTGGCGTATGCCAGGAGAATATTACCTGCCCGAATGCATAGTGCCAACTGTAAAGTTTGGTGGAGGAGGAATAATGGTCTGGGGCTGTTTTTCATGGGTCAGGCCCCTTAGTTCCAGTGAAGGGAAATCTTAAAGCTACAACATACAACGACATCCTAGATGATTCTGTGCTTCCAACTTGGTGGCAACAGTTTCGGGAAGGCCCTTTCCTGTTTCAGCATGACAATATCCCCGTGCATAAAGCGAGGTCTATACAAAATGGTTTGTCGAGATCGGTGTGGAAGAACATGACTGGCCTGCACAGAGCCCTGCACCAACTCCATATTAATGCCCATGATTTTGGAATGAGATGTTTGACAAGCAGATTTCCACAT